TATTTTTATTCTAAAATGCAATATTAACAATAGTTTTCTTTGCTAGATATATATGTTTAACTTTTGCTTTTTGCGAAAATAAAAAATATAAATATTCAGCATTTTAACCTGCATCTTTTCTCTGAACATTCAGCATGATGAGAAATCCACAATTTGACTTCAACTAAGTTTATTTACATCAGTCTTTCTATTATTGTATAAAGTTTGAGTATTCAGAACCTAATTTTGAATATTAATACTCATGAATAAGAGCTGGAGTATAAGATACTCTGAGTGAGTATCAAACAACATAAATAGTTTTAGTTTAATGACCATTGCTCTAAAGTAAATTGGAAATTATTTCAAATTATTTGCAAGGCATTGGCTAGATTTTCTCATTTTGTGGCCATGGTTGTCAGCAAGAGGAATATCCCAAGATATAAACAACAAATTGGAGATTCCGAAATCAAGCAAGTACAAAAATTGAAATATCTGAGAAGTGTTTTACAGAAGATAGAAAATGTGGCAGTAAAATAAAAAAGCACATTAGAATGGTGAAAGATGCCTTCCAAAAGCTATGCAAAGTATTAAGAAACAGGAAAATTTCATTCGAAAAAAAAATGTTGTTTTTTTCGTTTAGCTCTGTGTGAATGTGTGAAACTTTTGCGCAATTTCAGGTCTTCTGTGTGGAATTGAATGCTGGGAAATTTCCTCATAGATGAATAAGGAACTTGAGCCAACAGAAATGTAGTTCTAGGGAAGGTTGCCGAGAATACCATGGACTAGACATAGGTTTAATAAGGAAGTTTTAATGAAAAATGATGCTAATATTAGAATTAGAAAGAAATTAGTTGAAATTCACACAATGAGTAAAGAGGGCTTGGGAAATTTGACACTCAAAGGACAGACTGAAGGCAAGAGGGGGTAGAAGGAAACAGTGGGTAACATAACTAAAGTAGTCTGGAGTGATTGTGAAAAGACAAACATAGTTAAAAGCTACAGAGGAGGATAGGAAGTTATAAAGATTTAAGATTGCCAATGTCCTCAAAGCCAAATTACTCTTGCTTCTTCATTAAAAAACAAAAAATAAATAACTGATAACTGGCCCTAAAGTTTTTCCATTTCTGCCAATGCAAGACTTTAGGCCAAGGGTCAAGGGTCAATTTTGACAATCAAAAAGGTCAAAGGATGAAACAAATATCATAGTATCAAATTTAAAAGGTCATTGTTTTTCAGAAAAGATAAGGAACATTTTTTAATCATATATTTAATAAGTAAAAATTTTCATGCCAAAATTTATAGGAAAGAAAATTATTATTTTTTATTCATATAATAGTAATTTGGATGGATGATTATATATATATATATATATATATATATATATATATATATATATATATATTATGAAATGGACAAAGTCCGACAATTATTTTTATTTGGAGGACAAATATTTTCTGTGAAAATTTCTCAAATATTCAGGCCAGTAAATGTGGTTTAATACTGTTTATTATAAACAGAGCATTTACTTAAATATTTTATCTATAAAAAGAATGAATGAATATAAAAATGTCTTAAAATATATATATATATATAATATATATATATATATATTTATATTTATACATATAGCATGATTAAGTTGTATATAACTGGATACAATGAGTTCAAAATATATGTTTGATAATCTGACTAGCACTATAGAATCCCAAAGAACTGTACCAAATAACAGAAACCACATCAATTGAGGACTACCAACAGCAGCAACAACTAAAATGGATAGCACATGTAACTCAAAGTGAAAATAACTACATAACCGAGATGTTAACAATCCACACTAATAAAACAAATGGTCAGGAAAGAAACCCACATTAATACTGGAAAGAGTTACTGGACTTGAGAAACCTATTTTACTGAAAAGTTTTTTTAAGTAAAAGATTTTATAAATTTCAACTGAAAGTCAATGAATGCAGAATGTTTCCTTAATATATTAATCTCTATCTATAAAAGGCAGGATGTGTATGTGTGTGTAATGAATGCACGGTCATAATTTTTGATGGATTTGCACCAAAATTTACATGCACATGCTCCAAGTTAGCGGAAAGGCCAAGACTGACTTTGCATTTCCCAACTCCCATCGATAGTGGAAATAATCGATTTTTTCATGCTTCTACGGCAGTTTTCATGTAGTTTGCGCCATTTTCTACTGGCTTGAGTGAGAGCCAATAGCTGGCTGCCACGAATAGGCAGAAATATTCTATTGGCCAGCATGAGAGCCAACAGCTGACTGACACAAATGTTAACTAGCATGCAAAAAAATCGATAGCTGTATTCGTCACAAGCGGGAAAAATTTAAATCTGCATGGCACTTTACTCCAATTGGCTCATTAACTTGCTTAAACTCAACGTTGATTTTGATTCCGCAGAACTGGGTTGGGTGTGAAAAAGTATTTGTTGTTAACATTCTTTTTTTCATTCGGTTGTTCCAGTTACGAGTCCTTTTTTAAAGCTGATCATTTTGTGTTCATTTTGTTTAGTTCTTTTTTCATAATAGATTTAATGTTTAGTATAGAGCTTAGAAAAAATTTGCAGTGTGAGATAGGCAAGAAGTAAGGCATGTAGCAACATCAGCAGGGCAAAGGGCATTTCTTTAAAGGCAAGGAAGGGCAAAAATATTTTAAGTCAAGTGATAGCGATAGCTGTATGAGTCGTACGATTTTTTAATCAAGCACGGACAACGCCGAGCCATGCTCTAGTAATTACTATTGCCATTACCAATTGTCTAGAGCTGGACTGTCCTATAGTCTAGGGCCCCTACAACTTGGTTGTAATGCTGGTTATGAAAAATGTGTTTTTCTACTACAGCTAGTATGTACTAATTTATATTACAATAAATAGTAAAATGGTGGCGATTCTTGAAGAATATCTATAGTTATTCAAGTTTATTTAAAGCTTTAAAATAAGTTTACATCAAGCTATGTATATTTCATTAAAATATATCTCCAGTAAAAAATATTCAAGTTGTGTTCAGGTGGATTAGAGGGTAGCTCCATCTGAGACAGGGGCCATAATTTTATTAGCCTAGAGCCCCAAAAGATCACAATTCAGCCCTGAAATTATCATTAATTAATATATTATAGCAGTGAAAATAATTTAAAGCTAGAAAATACTTCCAAAGGAAAAAAAATATTTAGACCTTGCAGCTTCCTATCAGGTAGTCTCCCCTCTGATTTACCATATTACAGTAAAAAGAGAAAAGAAATGATACAATGCGTGCATCCAGAACTTGAAAAAATAACAAATAACAAGTCCTAAAAAAAAGATATTTGAAATCTGATGAAGGCACAAAGAGTTGGCATGAAACAAATGATGTCCTTATCTGCTGTCAAAATCTAATCAATTTGTTGGTGGACAATTTAATTATTTTGTCATTTATTACCATTGTCAGCATTTTGTGTAATTATTGGCGCCAACCAATATCATGTGTTGTTCTGAATGACTGGCACCAGATATATTCTTTCTCATTGGATCATTTGGGAAATTGTACCCATTCCTAAAAAAAACAACATCCAAAGATTCACATCTAATCAAGCAGCAGAATTTTGCATGTCAAGCTTTTAAATATCAAAGCTTCTCAGTGATTGTCATATGTCCAACCAAGCATATTTTGATTAAGCGGTTGGGATTTGCTCGAAAGGCTAGATAAAGTACAGAGAACATAAATTAAAATTATTTTTCTGTTAAAAAAAATTAGTTGACATTTTCTAAATCTTACAAGAATGGTAAGTTACTTAGAAGACAGAATCTTACTGCACGGTTGTTTGGAGAGGTATGAACTATAATTCCACTATAAGCTCAAATATGAATATATGATCATATTGTACACTTTCAAGAGGATAGTGAAATCATACTAAATCCAGTGGTTATTTGAGAAACATTAATCTTGGTCATTGCTTAGATGGGTGACCAATTAGACTGGGTATTGCAAACTGCTTGTAGATTTGAGTCAGACTAAACAAAAGCTTAATATATAAGTAAAGAGAATTGCAAAATCCTATGATCAATTCACTTAAGACAAAGTTGAATTGATTGTCACAACATGACTTTTATTTATTTTTGGTAAAAAAACAACCTACAGACAGACCCAAAATATTGACATAAATAAATGGACAGGAAGAGACTGTGATAGATAAATAAATAAATAAAAGCAGATTTCGGTATATATATATATATATATATATATATATATAGATAGATAGATAGATAGATAGATAGATAGATAGATATGAACAGATAGATTAAGTGACAATTATAAGGAAACTGAGATAGACAGAGAGACTGATATGAATAAACTAGTATAGATAAATAGATAATGAACAAACTGAGATACCAAGTTTGAGCAGACTCATAATGACAGATAGATATATATACAGATATGAACAGAATGAAGACAGATAGATAAATAGATATAATGAAAATTTAAGATAGACAAGTAGATAGAGGGACAGAATTAAAATCTAAGATAGACACTGTTAGAATAAGATTGATATAAGTAAATTAACATAGCCAAATAGATAGATATGAAGAAACTGAGCTAGAAAGATATGAGCAGATGAGTAATGAAAAATAAATAGATAGATAAAGAACATACTGAGATAGATAGATCGCTAGATAGATGGACAGCATTAAAATCTAAGATAGATAAGTAGACATTGAGGGATATGAGCAAACTAAGATAAATATGTAGAAACTGAGCTAGAACGATATGGGAGACTGATAATGAAAATATATATATATATATATATATATATATATATATATATATATATATATATATATATATATATATATATGTGTATATATATATATATATATAGATAGATAGATAGATAGATAGATAGATAATGACCAGAATGAGATAGAGAGACAGATAAATAATGAACAGAGACAAATATAGATATCTAGAAATGTACATATTAATATTATATATATATATATATATATATATATATATATATATTAACAGAAGGAAAAAGAAAAAAATAGATAGATAAAGAACATACCATGATAGATAGATAGATGAATAGATATGACTAGAATGAGATAGATAGATAATGAACAAAGATAAATATATAGATAGCTAGAAATGTACATATTGAAAATATATATATATATATATATATATATATATATATTAACAGAAGGAAAAGAAAAGATAGATAGATAGATAGATAGATAGATAGATAGATATGTATGTTGTCACTTTATTTTGTTCTATTTCTGCAGTGTGATTTAAAAATTTCTGTTAGTCAAAAGCTAAGACCATCTCACCAGGCAAAGTGAAGATATTTTCTCAGAAGAAAAGAAAATTGTCAAAAGGTCATTTCTGAGATCTCTTCTCATCTAAGTGCCCAAAATTTCTGGCATATTTCACCCTCCCCCGACCCTCATCGATTCTGTTCTTCGTTTTGTGGTTCTTCTGCTGCATTGCTCTGTCAATCATTGGTCTCTTCACTTTTTGACAAGTTTCAATTATTCTGGAATGTTCCACACCAGAATGCATTCTGGGATCAGCACTGAGGTGGAAACTCAATGACGGAAAATCAGGGCTGAAGGGGAAATGGGAAAAAAGTGGAGAGAGGGGGGAAAAGGTGAGGGGGAAGCGTGTTTGTAAGTGGGAAAGCGGCAGAAGAGAGAAGTGTAGGAATAAAAATAACAGGGAAAATAAGGAACTAAGAAAAGATTGTAACAAAAAATAAAGAAAGAATATAAAAAGAGTAAGAAGAGAAAGAGAAGCGTGCAAAAAAAAAGATGATGAAGAGGGAAAAGCTGTAAATGGATGATAAAAAGAACTAATGAGAGAAAGAGTATAAAAAGTTTAATAGAGACGAGTGAGTGGATAAAGAAAGAAAATTTAGAAAAAAAGTCAAAGAAAAAAAAATGTCGAAAAAAGAGAAATCTAGAAGGAAAAAATATATTCTCCTTTTATGTGCTGTATCCCTTCAGGATGTTGCCGATCATGTCTCTCCACAATGTCCTCTGCTTTGTAGCTCTTAAAAAAATATTGTCTTTTTGTTATCTCTCCTAAACCTAATTCTTCCAGCCATTTACTCAAGCTCATTTTTTGTCTTCTGTATGCCGTATCCCTTCAGTATGTTGCCGATCATGTCTCTCCACAATTTCCTCTGCTTTTAATTCTTAATAAATTTTGCCTTTTTGTTATCTCTCCTAAACCTTGTTTTCTCAAACTCATTTTTCTTCTTCTAATGTGCCATATCCCTTCAGGATGTTGCCAATCATGTCTCTCCACAATGTCCTCTGCTTTTAGCTCTTAAAAAATATTGTCTTTTTGTTATCTCTCCTAAAACCTAATTCTTCCAGCCATTTCTCAATTTATCCCTTCAGTATGTTGCCGATCATGTCTCTCCACAATTTCCTCTGCTTTTAATTCTTAATAAATTTTGCCTTTTTGTTATCTCTCCTAAACCTTGTTCCTACATCCATTTACTCAAACTCATTTTTCTTCTTCTAATGTGCCATATCCCTTCAGGATACTGGCAATCATGGCTCTCCACAAATTCCTCTCCTTTCGTTCTAAATATATTGTGTCTATTCATTATCTCTCCTGAACATTGTTCAACCATCCATTTCTATGTGGGGTATCCCTTCAGGATGTTGGCAATTATGACTCTCCACAATTTCCTATTCTTTGTAGTTCCTAATAAATTTAAAAATCCTGTTCTGCCATCCATTTACTCAAATTCACCAAGCAGGTTATGCCTTATTTTCCTCTTGCCTTCAATCTGTCCTGTGAGTATCAAAGTTTATAAGCCCTCTTTCTTCATTATGTGCTTTAGACATTTCTCCTTTTGTTTCGATTTTCTCTAGAACTTTATTGCTGCTCATGTTCTGTCCATGATATCCTCAGCAACATTCTGTAGAACCATATTTCTGTTGCTTGAATTCTCTTCTTCATCTTTGAGGAGTTTGTCCAGAATTCCAGAAAAGAAGGAAGAAAAGGAGAAAGAGAAGATAAAGAAGAAGATAATCTTGTTTGAAAGACACAGAATAAAAAAAAAAAACTATTCCAATAAATAAGCAATAATAATGAAAAAAAAAAAAAAGAAATGTTGAGGAGGAGGAAGGGGAGAATGAAGGGGAGAAGGAAGAGGAGAAAACAGATAAACTTAAATATTCAAAGAACAAACAAGAAATACATTAGCAGAAAATGGAAGAAGAAAATAAGAAAATGAAAATAAAGTCAATGAATGAATGAAAATTGGTGAAAAGAGAAGCTGATGACTGAAAAAAGAAAAGAAAAGAATTGAGTAAATGAAAATTTAATATTTGTACACATTTGGTGTCTTTTGATGAAGTCAACATATGAGTTATAAATAAACATGTCAAGTCATGAGTCAGTTCAAGTAACAGTTAGAGAAAGTCTGTGTGATAGTCTGAGTAGCAACTGGATGTAACAGTCAGAGTCAATGTCATTATGAAATCTTCACGTGTCTTGTCTCATATGAAAATTATCTTCATAAGAAGAAATTGAACTTTATATACTTTCTTATTTTCCTTTCCTTTTTCTTTTTGGATGAGTTGAATATTTGTACAAGGTCAAATTTTCAATCTCTCAAACTTTCACAGGGATATTAGTCAAAACAATTTGTAGAATAAAAAAAAACCTCAATCTGTAAAAAGAAAAGCTGTCTTTTTGGATAGAAAAAAAGGAGATTATAAAGTGAAAGCTATCTATCTGAGTCTCTTAATTATCTATGTATCTATCTGAGTTTCTGTTTACAGCCACATCATGTTGAAATACCAGTTTTCATATGCTCACCAAAGTTAAGTAACATACAGCCTGGTCAGTACCTACATGGGTAACCACTTTGGAATAAGTGCTGTGAGCTTGGACGGGAAAATGGTTTAATGGATAATGGCTCGGAATTGTTAATTAGAAAGTTCCAATTCCCATTAGTTTCATTATATTTACTTATGTGCAAATACTAAACCATTATTATATCAAGAAAAAAAATCTTAGAATCTAAAAATATTTTCTATAGCTTATCAGCCCTGCAAAGAAAATGAATCAATCACTCCATCAATGCCTAAGTGTCATCATTATCTATCTATCTATCTATTTTCAACCTGATCATATCTATCTATCTATCTATCTATCTATTTTCAACCTGATCATATCTATCTATCTATCTATCTATCTATCTATATCACTGTTCATAACTATCTTTCTGTTCATTTCTATCTATCCGTATCATTGTTCATATCTGTCTATCACTGTTCATATATGTCTATCTATCTATCTATCTATATATCTATCTTCATATCTATCTATCTATCTATGTGTTCATGTCTATCTATCTATCTATCTATCTCTGTTCATGTGTGTCTATCTATCTGTTCATTTCTATCTATATTTATCATTGTTCATATCTATCTATCTCTGTTCATGTATGTCTATCTATCTATCTACCTACCTATCTATCTATCTAGCTAGCTAGCTAGCTAGCTATGTATTCATGTCTGTCTAGTTATCTATCTATCATTTTGGGGCATAGAAAAAGAGATCATAGATAGAAAATATTTAAATGAAATAAATCTGAAAATATGACAAGCCATTCTGATTTTGTGAGCACATTTTGTAAATTTCAACTTAATTCTACTTATATTGTTCATATCAATTTGACAATGGTGTCATAATTCTTCAATAAATTGTAATTATGTCTTTCAGGCAGTTATTAATGCTTGGATGATTGGATCTAATTTAGAAAAACATTTATGGATAATCCTTTCTTTCTAACTTGTCAAGTTAATGAAACCTCAATAAATTCTGTTCATGTCTTTGCTACATAATTTATTTTCACAAATTTTGCCTATGTTTTGTTTCTTATTTTAGATTTCCTTTACAGAAAATTTCTTCTTTGAAATTGATGGATTATTTTTATTTTTTAAGAAGGATAAATTTATCCAATATTTTCATTGAAGAATGACTTGTTCTTTGCCACTTTACAGCTCAATATGAGACGTGCTCAGCTATACTGTGCTTAACTTGCAAAAAATAAAGCATTTTGGCACAATTTCATTATTTATTTATTTAAAGAGATTTCCACCCTACACAAAGCCTGGGAGGTAATGGAGGATATTTGGGGAAGATAACAGTTAACACCTAAACTTGAAAATGATAAGATTATAGTGATCAAAAAAAATATCCTCTTAGGAATATTCTTGTATTATTTCAAACTATTGTTCTCATCTTGGTTGGTATAGATGTTATTATAGGCACAATGTTTCGACTAAGTACCCTCTGGTCATCATCAGGAGTCCATTGATTGTCTTACATGGGATATCTCTTGATTATTTGTGATATGCAATTTGGTTTCAGTGCATTTCAACTGCACTTTGATGGGTGAGAATCAAAAATGCACTGAAACCAAGTTGCATCTTTGTAGTGAGTAAAATGGTTTTGTCTATATGATAAAATTATAATAAAGTAATAATTATCGCTCTGGTATCAGTATTTTGGATTAATGCTGTGAACATTGGAATTTATATATTACTTTCGTTCTCATCGCATCGGATATATATATATATATATATATATATATATATATATATATATATGAAAACTTTTGTGTTTTATTTTAACTTTTCATATATTTATGCTGCCATGTGTTTCATCCACCCTTTAAATGAGGTCAATGTTTCATATCTGTGCACAACTGAAGAAGGCTTACAACCACATCACATTGAAAGACCATCTCTTTTACAATCCCCAAAGTTAAGCAACATTGAATCTAGTCACTCACTACCTAGATGAGTTTTCACTTGGAAATGCCAGATGTTTTAAGCTTAGACGTGTTGATGGTATAATGGGTAATGGTTCAGTATTGTTGATCAGAAAGCCAAGTTCTAATTCCCGTTGGATTCATTATATTCACTTAGACACAAATACCATTGGGAAAGGTATGGATGCATCTCTTCTCCCACCAGCCATGGGTTAATTAGTAAAAGGCTTATATCACTAAACCATTGTTATCTCACAAAAAATTCTTACAATCTTTCTGGCTTGAAAAATCTGCAAAGTGTTGATAAGACATAAAAGACAAATCAATCAATCAAATACTGATTACTGTATTTTCAGGCTTACAAGATGCACTTTTTTCCTAAAAAATACCCTGAAAAATACCTGTGCATCTTTCAAGACGAATATAAGGCAGTGCCCAAGCTCAAGTCAGCTTGGACAGTAACTTAATTGGCCTGACTGATAGGGACATGAATTTGTATGTTGAGTCATTACACTATAATGTTAGCTATTTATCTAATTCATCTTTTTATATGATGTAACCTCAGTACTTAGCTGTTAAAAGTATTTCCAAGACTATAAACCTTCCTGGAGCTGAGCCACAAGCTTAAACATGCTCTTTTTACTAGCTGCAGCGTGTGCCTTTCTGTTCTTGACTAATATGTCATTGCCATACAAACAGAATCGGATGAATGATTAAAGCAAACAATACATGTCACTAGTATGTGAGGGACGCATGGTGAATGTGTTGTATGAGAATGACTTTTCTTTTTCTTAGAAATTTCTTCCCAATATTAGGGTGCATCTTCCAAGTCACAGCATTGTGTAAGCTAAAAAATACAGTAGTTACACAGGAATATCTTTTAAATTGATTTACATTCTCTGGAATATAAATGTATACAGACTACCATTGCTACAAAGTGAGGGATCAGTTTATATATTGTTTGCAATATAGAATTGAGCCCCCACTTTATACCCACATTATAATTTCTTGTTTGTTTATCAAATTCTGATTAGGTATGAATCCACCTCCTCTTCCCCTCAACCTCATCGTATAAATTCCTTGTTGGGAACTGTGACGGGTTAGTTTGGAAAATTTAGTTTCTCTTATTCTTCTTTCTTGTATTGATGGGGGGGGGGTTCTTCTTAAGATTTATTTGAGGTAGACTGGAAAATCAAAACATCTTGATTATATTATTATTTTCTTTTTTTGTTACATGAGCTATCCATTTTAGTTGTTGCTGCTGTTGGAAATGTATTTGGAAAAGTTCTTTGTAATTTTGTAGTGCCAATCTAAAGGATCCGATGAAGGATTCATTCACTTGAAGCCATTTTTAATCATTGATCTGAGAATACAATATTATATAGCTGATAGATGAAACATTTCTGAATTGGATTCTATGAATGACATTCATGTAAGAACCTTGCTCTGAAAAGGTTAATTTTGCCTTTACTTTACATTGGCTATTTTTATAATAATATTTAAAGGCTGGATGTTTTCCTCAGAGATATCAGATACCTGTATTTTGGTGGTTGGTCAATTTTGTTTAGCAACATTTCAAATTCTATGGGTTATTTAATGACAAAATCTAAATATTTTGTAAGCAATTTTATGTTTTCAACTATAGATATATTGTATATAATTTTATACTTTCAGGGTAAAGGTATGTTTTTAGATATATATTTTATAGGACATAAAATCTGTTGTTGGTAATTTTACTGTAAAAATGAATTTTTATATTTTTTAAGTGTTTCATTTTCCTATAAAAATGTATTGTTGGTCATTTATAAAAATTGTTGGTCATTTATAAAAATTGTTGGTCATTTTATAAAAATGATCTGTTGATTTTTATTTGCAGCTTGACTATTTGCTGTGACCCTAAAAGGTGCTACCAACCCAGATGATGGTGGACCTGGGAACAACAGCTGTTAAGAAGGGGTTTTACACTCCTCAAAACCTCCCAAGCAGAAGTTTTGTAACTCTATGGGAAGGTTTTGATATTTTGATATTTATCCATATTCTTATGTAATTTCAGGTTTACCTTATGATAAGCACAAATGTGAAGATGTCTTTGAGATAAAGAATCATTAGACCTTTTGTTTTCCATGAATTATCCAAAGTGTTATGGGAACTTACCCATAATAATAATGGACTATTCCTGACATTATAAATACAGTGCCTCTCAAGAGGTATGAGGAGATTGTAAGATGAGGAGAGATAATTGAGAGCATATTGTAAGGACATTGGAATAGTAATACTTGTCGGGACAACATAGTTCACTCTAACCAAATCTGATAGTCATTACTAATACTTCTACTTCTTTGTACTATATTTCTGTTGTAATATATCTTTGCATTTCATACCTGTGTTCGTGTTATTCTTTCATTGGTTCTATCCTTGGACCATCACTGTGGTATAAGGAACTTTGACCATAACACAAAGAATGGAAGGACTATATCAAACAGTAGAGGTAGTCATCTTAGCAGATCAAAATCTTGAAAAGTTGGAAAGATCAAATTGTTCTCACATCTTCACCTACTCCTTGATGGCAGCACTGAAGAT